AGTAGTTACACAAATGTATTGGCAGTGTTCACTCTGGATAAACTTTGTTAATAATCACTGTGGGGTTAGTCGGGTACAAACAAAACTATATAAACACTCAACACATTTACTGGGGTTTAAGAGTATCCCCATGAAGAGGAAGAATGAGTGAATTTGACGAAGGTGGTCGATGAAGGAGCTTAGATCGGAGGAAGATCAAATGGGTTATTAATGCACATTATCATCTGCATATTTCAAAACACGTGCATCAAAAGCACCAGAGATATCATGCATGTACGTGGAAAATAAGTTTAGAGATCATACAGTTTATTTGAGGAACTCCGGAGTTGTTGAATAAGGTTTTAGGTTGGTACTCTGCCAGTAAAATAGTTGAATGAACAAGCTAACAATTTCTTGAGGGATTTCAACGACTCCAGTTTTTTAGCAAATTTGATAGAGCATTGGAATCTAGTACTGAGGCGTAGTGAAGAAATACACACATGACAGACTTAACAGAGTTGTTCAAAGATTCAGTGATAAAATGAATAAGAGTTGAGACCGTTTCAAGTGGATCTGCTAGGCTTGTAAGCAGGCTGTTACGGATGATTGGGAAGGCGTTTGAGTATAGCCTTTTCATTCAACTTATTAGCAGATGTTAAATCTATGGGACGAAACATTCTGGAGAGGATACAAGATTTAGATGCTTTGGGGATTGGTATTATCGTGACCGGCCTCCAACAGTGGGGGACAGTAGAAGTGCAATAGAGATGATTGCCCCAGCTAGTGAAGCAGCACCAAAATTGAAGAGAGTTAAACCATACGGGCCTGCGGAACAGGACGAACTACAACTATTTAAAAGTTAATCACATCGCAGTCTGAGAATGGTTCCACACTACAAACACTGTGATGAGTAGGCTGGAAGTATGTCTGACGACTTGTGCAAGAATGCGGACAGTGAGTTCATCACTATCAACTCTCGGCTTCGACCGTACTTTCCTCCTTCCATAGAGAAATCGGATACCATCCTACAGGTGTTTACTGTTCGCAGTCCTCGGAATTCGATCGGAGAATAATGCGTTAATCTACTTATCTCAGCTTTGAGAAGCCTAGACAAGTGTCTGACAGCTGAATTATTGTGAGACTTGCATTCACGTTCCTATGGTCCTCGTAGCGACTTTAGTAGGGGAGAGGTTATCCTTCTATCAGACACCTACAGACTTTTGACAGGGCATCACTAATCGTTTGGATGAATAGGGGAGCACGCGTAAATAAAGAAGATGATGAAAACCATAAAGGAACCTGCCTGAGAGATTCATTGATAAGAGAAACACTTGTCAGTGAGAAGATACGAAAACGAAATCTGATGTGGTCAGATCGAGAGAAGGACTTATATGCACAATGTGAATAAACTTTAGATCTAACAAATTATAAACAGTGGTGGAAATTGGTGCTTTTAGTGCTAAAAAGGTTTGAGTGGTTGGTGATCACTCTGTTCATTATAGTGTTACCTCTTGTGGGAGAGTAACAAAGATCTGTCATATCTACGGATAAAAGAGTCATCAACAATAATTTGTAAGTTAACAACGCCTCACTTATCGCCAACAGTTTTGCATTACAATTACGTAACAACGGTTTAAAAGAGGAAGCGAGATCAATCATGTGTTTGGTCGTCATGATCAACCAAAGTGATCAAGTCGATGACGCAACCCAAGCCCTGTAATCAGGCGGTCACACGTAACCCGGTTCATCAATTGCAAAACACCTCATGACAACCAAGCACGTAATTGATGCCGCTTCCTCTTTTAAACGGTTGTTACGTAATTGTAATGTAAGTTAACATCCAAAATTGGGGCAGTAAAACGTCTAAATGAGTGAGAGATTGACATACGATCTGATTGTTTACAGTAAGGTGCTATACACAAGTTAGCGAAAATTGTGTGAGTAAGACGGGAAAATCTTGGTTGACATCGCATGGTTAGGCACTCAATACATTTTAGGTAGTACTAGAAAATGGGACTAATAATAATAATAATAATATGGGACTTGCCACACCGGGAAACGTTCACATATTTCACAACACTTCACCCTGTCTTCTTTCCTCCGGTTCCACGATCCTGTCGGTAAACTTGAAATCCGTCAATCAACAACATGGCGTTATCTGTTTCTTTGTTTAGCCAGGATATTTGCACACGGGCTACAAAAATGTTCATGTTAAATAGACACCCAATGTTATTGCTGACCAATGAGAGGTCAATCAAACTGGCTGAAGGGGTGCAATTAAGGACCATTTGCTATGCTGAACGCTTGTGATATTTAGTCCAAGACGGAAAGTGAAAAGCTGAGGTCGCACAAGCAGATGAGACAAATAGTATAATCCCGTGGTAGCGAAGACTCAAGATATCAAGTGAAAACGTGAAAATTCCAAAAATATGATGGAAAGCACATAAGTAAGCATGTAATCGAAGAGCGCGCCTTATACATGCGTTATTACTAGCCGTCCATGAAATTCGGCTTTCAACCTTTGGATGCTTTGTACACATTCCTAATTAAATGTTGTTGGTTGATCTTTTAATTTGATTTAGTCGGTCGATAGACATTTATATTAGCTGCAAAAAGATTGCAGTATTGCAAAAGAACTGTTAAAATCTCAACCCTATGACCTTTTACTAACATCAACAAAACCCAGAACGTTAGTCGGGCGCTTGGACAGTCCACCAAAGAACTAGCCCGAGGGTGATGAAATTTCACTCCAAGTGAAAGAGTACAAGTGGCTTTGTTTCACACGGCATCAAATAAACTGCGAACTAAGTGGAATTAAAATTTTAGATTTGACTTAGACGGTGCATAACTGTATTTTATTACTTGAATATTCTTTGGTAAACTTTTGGTAATCTTTTTATGTTCCTTAATTAAGTAATATTTTCATTGTGTACAAGCACTGATCAACAAGTTGTGACGTGCTAGAAACAACCGTCTCCCTGCTGTTGAATGATCATGCTCACACCACATAACCACCATCACAGACTGCACATGAGCGCTTGTAAAACCACCGGCGTTTCCTTAAGCTAGATAGGTGCTGTAAAATCTGTTCACCATGCATCTCAAATCTACAATCCTCTTAAACCTCAATCTATTCGTGCTTATTTGCTCAAAGTTTCTCCGGTACAGTGGAACATGTTCATTGACCGTGGCATCGCCATCAGCCCTGGCTGATTGAATGACCATTGTTCATAGTATTTACTTCACACCGAAAGTGCACTTGAAGTCTGGATCACTCAGCAAAGACGCTGGCATTGATTGTAAACTTAATTGAAAACAACATCCTCGGCTAACCGCGTTGCCATTTATCATCTTTCACTGTCCATTTCATGTGATGGTACGTCTGTTGCTTGCATCATTGAATAGACTCGTTCGGGTTTACATGCCGGAATCAAATGAGACAGGATGTAGGTGGTGTGGTTTCCTAAAATAAACACAACTTTTTATCCTAATGTACTTAGAAGTTGATGCATTCAATTGCTCACTTAATACACACAGGAATGGTTTGGGTTACTCGTCTAAACGAAACAACTGCACACAGCCTCGCATACTCCCAATATTCAGACAGTTCAAGTTGTAAATTTTTTTTCAAACAGGCTTCCAGCTACTTTCACATTCAGGTGAAAGTTAGGCAACAATAGTGGTAGAAATCTGCATGAGTGATTAGGTTTCTGAGGTGTTTGATGCATCAGCATGAATTTATCTAAAACACGCAGTAATAGGCATGGTATATCTCTAGGTTCTGCAAACTGGTTCTTAACCTTATTGGTCAAAATGATTCGCGGGCGTACCCAGATTACAAGATTACGTTTCAGCCGGGAATTTTGAACAGGATTTGTTTACTCAGTCTGAGAAAACATACGTTAAAAAGGGAAATAAATGCAGAGTAATATCAAAGGTGACAAAAGACGTGCTCAAATCATTCATCTTTGTTGTCCTGATTTTCCACGTCATCAATAGCAGTATGGTTTCATGTAGATTTAAAAGCTTCATCCTTCGAAGGCAGATACAATTGATCGTCTCCCTATTTCAGCGCAATACCTAACTGAGTAAATGTGATATCCAGTACAAATGTCTTCATATAAGTAAATGCGTATAATACGGAAACGATATGTGAGATGTGACCCAGAGCTCCGTGAATCAAATAACGGGGTAGAATAATCTTCTAGCCATAGCTGTCAGCATACAAGCAGTTACGGCTAAGTTACAAAGCATTATGTCAAGTCACTCATCCAGTGTCATAAAAGCAGCATGCGTTTTGATTTTCAGAACTGATTTGATCGATAGTTCAACAAAATGCATCGTGCAACCGATCACTTTTAATGATTTTTATGATAGATTGATTATTACATAAGTTTAGTAACGCTTCTTTTGATTCAACCCATAAACAGACAGAGGATAATCTGAAAAGACTTTACTGAAGTCAGTAACGCAGCCCGTTGTTTCCGATAAATCAATTTAATAAAATATATCTTTGTCACTATGTGGTTCTGTTAAATAGCGTTCAAGTAAATCATCATTCAAAATTGCAACTCGATTGCATCAAAATACTTCCCGGGTTTTTTGCAACATTCATTATGTCAGGCACTGGTTTGACTCCGTCACGTGACGATAGACCAAGATCATGTTATCCACTCATCTTTGAAATACCTGCTCTCATGGGTTCCAGTGACATCAGTGAATTCCACGTAGAATCTTCAGGTAGCGTCATGATGTCATCTGTTCTGAGTATGATAAACAGTTGACCAATACCGTGGTATGGTGAACTGGAGTGCGTTCTCTATAAAATAACGCCTTAAACTGAATCGAAAAAGTTTCTTATTCAACCCGACATTATGCTGAAATTCCCACCGGGTCAAAAATGCAGTAACCGCACCCGTGTCGCATGGGTGTTATGTGTAGTATTTTTTATTACGCTGGTGGTATACGCATTTCTCCTTAGAAATGACCCCATAGGTATTTCATTGCCGGAGGAGTATAAAATGTTACAAAACGACAAACTGATATCACTGCCGGTATTTCTTGCCACAAAGGAACAGTTGTGTCCCGTTGTGGTATCACCGCCACTGAACGAAGCATTTGGTGATACTTTAGCCAGTTTCACTCGTGTGGAGGAATGGCCATGGCAGCTGCATACGAATCACGGATGTCAGGCATTTAAAAAGATTGCAGGAGAAGAACCCATGATCGCTCAAGAAGAATTCGAATACCCGCTCGCGTTCTCGTTCAATATACACACGGGTTTCACACAATTTGCTCGCCTTCTCAGAGCTGTTTTCCGGAAGCATAACGCATACTGTATCCATGTTGATCGAAAATCGGAAATGGCATTTAGAAATCAAGTGAGAATTCTGGCCAAATGTTTTGGCAACAATGTGTACGTTATCCCAGAGCAAGAGAGTTACAGCATCCATTGGGGTGACTTTGGACCATTAGAAGCTTGGATTCTGTGTGCGAAGCACTTTTTACAGTTATCTTCAGTTCGTTGGAAATACATGCTCAATGGGAGTGGTCAAGAATTTCCTCTGAGAACCAACTGGGAATTGGTGAAAGCACTGAAGGCTCTAAACGGATCCAACATAATCGAGTCTGATTACCCTCATTCAGGAAGATCCAGGGCGCCGTACCAAGAACTTTCGTTTAAGGTTAGTATTTTGTAGTATGAATTGTTGTTTATTATGCCTAGCAATAAAGGTCAATCTCTCGAATAAGACCTTTTGAAACAACCGAAAGTTACAAACATCTCTATTGACTGAGCACATAAAATGTTCATCACGTGTGAGTCTTCTCATCAGTTACCAGTTAGGTTTTTCCCAGTCTCATTATGTTATTTTCAAATTGAAAGTTTGATGTAAAAGATAATTACTGGCATTTTATAACCAAACCTAGATCATGGTCTTCGTATCAGCAGAGGCACGATATGTTTTTAGCACAGTTTTCCTGAACGTCACTGTTTGTGTAAGAATCACCTAAATGGCTAAATGTGATGGTCATTTGGTTAAAATGATATCATACTACTTTAGAGTGGCCAATAAAAATGAATTATTAACTGTCACTGGATTAAAGGTTTAGGAAGAAGAATTGACGTTTCCATGATGTTAATTTAACATGATCATCGACTGAAACCGGAAGGACATAAATCTCCGATTAAAACTAGGAACACCATGCCTGTTCGCTCACTGAAATTTCGCAGAAAACTGCTTCCTTCTTCATCACACTGCAGTGCACTTAACTAACTTGAAAAAGAATGATCCAATCCTTACACACCTTTTCGTCTGACCTAGTTGCCACTGATCCGATATTGATTTGCTCATTTGCTATGATTCACGTACTACCCTTCTCGATGGTTCTCCAAATATATTTTCCTTTGAAATCACTACCATCAATAGGGCAAAAACCTCTTAAACGACGTTTGGGTTAAACCTGTTTGGAATAGTAGCATCAACGCAATAGTTGCGGGCATTTTCATGTTTTTAGAACTTTGCTTTCAATTGAAATTCCTAAAATTAGCCTCTTGGAGGAATTCCTGAAGCGGGACATTATAATAAACCAATCCTAGTCTAAAGCATTCTGTTTTAAAGTATTTACAAATTCAGCCTTCAATGGGCGTGAAATCCCAGGTTGGTGACAATTCCTTTGATTGTTTGTTATAGTACATGGTGTTGCTATGTTGTCTTAAATCACAACATCAAGTCCAATGAACGGCTTCTTTTCGAAAGTTAATTCGTTGTGTATATAGCAAACGAAGCGTGAACTGAATAGCTAGGAAGCACTGAACGGCTTGTTTTTCTTCTTTCCTTTGGTTTTTATTCTCATCGGACCTATCTTCAACAAATAAGCTCTATCTGGGTAACTTTCTGGGTTGTCAAGAATGGCTAATGCATGTTCTGCAAATGCAACGACAAGGTACTAACTATTGTGCTTAGTGTTTAGTATTTCATTCAGCTGGTTTACCTGAAGTTGTGCCCCCTGCTATTAAAGTTTCCTCATAGGCTTTGTTTGTGCTGGGTCCAGCCAGGGAGTTAATTGTGCCCGCCAAAATGGTTTCCCTGACTACTTTCAAAAATTTCCCCATTCAGCGTGTTTAGGATTATCATAAGATAGTTGCCGTATATATGCAACATATATACAATTTTTTGAGCTCTATACTAACTATATGAAAATTTTTTCAACTGTTATTTCTTCACACCTAATTTCACTTCAGCAGTAAATGGGACCTTAGATCCTGGCTGTTTTTTCCCGCTGTGCATCATATTAGGCCGTTTGTTTATTTGTTAACTGAGACAAATTTGCATCCGGGCAACCACTCAGCAATTTAGATTGCTCAGAAAGTGATACAATGAGCCCTAAAATCATAGAATGCTTAATGTTTTCTATCCACGCTTGGCAGTACGCACGTGAAGTCCACAAAATCACGTTAACCGAGAAAATGATAAATATCTCTACGTTTATTCGGGTGTCAAAGAAATAATCACACATATATTCAATTAACATGGCTATTTCGATAAAAATTTTCATAAGATTACCACACCATCCAATTGCTTTTCATGTTGAACCATAAAACAAATCTCTCGCCTGTGTTTTTATAGACTGTTGCTAGCTAGTTCCCGTTCCGGATTATCTGCTGCGTCGAATATCGAGCTGTGGAAAAATCAGTGTGACTGTTATTCAATCATTTATGGTTAACCAATAAATGCTATTTCTCCCCGCATGGTGTTACCCAACTAATTAAATAAAGTCTCCAATACGGGAATGTTTTTTCGTTAGTCTGGCAAGCAAACATGGCTTTCAGTCCACTGTGATGGATGCGTAATTTAACGCTGATGCAAAAAACAAACAACCACTTTCCTCATTTTTATTTGATTTCCTTGGATGGTATGCTTGGTGTTTTCTACCCATTGCTTGTTAAAACTATCGACTCAATCTCCATTTGAACAGGTTTGTTACCACAGGTGTGGACATCCTGTGTCTAAAGGAAAATAAAGCTCAGACTGAAAACGTATCAGGTTCCAGTCACGATCACATTGTCCTTGAAACTATGTTTCACTTTATCTTGTCACTATATTAACTAAGTTGAATGGTCGAATGAACCTGCTTACATTTCTTAATGGGTTCCGCTGTCTAGAAAATAAATTTAGTAAATCTCACGTTAATGAAACTACAAGAAAACGTTTTCGTGTTCCTATGGTCCCACAAGGGAATTCCTCGTGTATAGAGCAAATGAAACGTAAACTGAACAGCTGGAAAGCATTGGACAGCCGTTTTGACATGGTTGGGTGCGAATCCATTGACCTAATTGGGGATCGAACCCGAGACCTAAAGGGCACCCTACGCACTCGGCCAATGTGCAGCTGATCAGGTCCTTTTTCAGGAGTATAATATCTTAGTATTAAATGGAGGAAGTATAAACCGCGCACCGATGTTAAAGAACCATTTGACACTTCCCTAAAGACAGTTATTTCTAGTGAGCCGGTTTTCCAGATACTAAAGGATTACCCACAAAAAAGCGATTCATAATCTTAGAGATAGTTGAAGATAAGCTTTTTACTACTTAGGTATGCTTAATTCTTTTGCACAGTTAAGATGGAAAATAAGTTTATTTACTTCTCAGCGCATACTACTGAATACACAGATTGCTTCAATGGTCACTGCTCTACTCGAGACCTGACCATTGTTTTATAGAATTTCGGAATAATTGATTCATTGAACTGAATTGTGGGAAATTCCGGAAAATGTAATCGTTTGTCTATTATTAGTCAAATCAATATCTCCAGTGTTCTGTGTCGTTCAGTTGTCGCTTCCGTGTAACAAAGAAAATTGTCCATGGTCCCAACAATCTATCGTTGAAATGATCACTGGACTCTGCGAATGGTACTAAAAAGTGTCTTTAGAAGGATACTTCCAAATCCGTTTTGAATAGGTGTTTCAAGAAGCAGTCCTTTTTTACTTCACATAAACTTATACAAAAATACACAGATGGAAGTTAGAGCTATGGTGCTTTGGTTAGTGTTTTGATGCATGATTCATTTGCTGACTCTTGCTTCATTCTACTCAGAATTTCTTATTTTCCCAAAGGGTTCTCCAATGAACCGGTGACAAATAGCTACGGTACCAAAACTTGAATAACTGAGTAATCTATTTTTCTCTATTCGATGTGGTAGATCCGCAACCGTTTGCGAATGAGCTGATGTAATGACTAACCGCAATTCAAAGGCCTTGTTCTCACCAGGAACAAACTGTTTGCTTCCCTAATGCTAATGTTTGATTTAGATCACGTGGTTCAAAGGGAGTGTCTACACCGCACTTCGACGGGACATGGTACGATTTGCACTGACGAGCAAATATGCTAGGGAAATTTTACACGCCATTCGATCGGAGACAGATAAACGAAGATTACAAGATGAAATATTTTTCCCCACGCTGGCCTATAATCCACAGTTCAATGCACCCGGTGGCTGCCCCAAGGTTCATCGACCAAATGAATCTGATCCCCGATCCATGTTCGTTGGTCGTTATGTTGAGTGGTACACGACATGTTTGAGTAAAAAGTCGCGACGTGCCGTCTGCATCATGGGCGTTAAAAACATACCAAAACTGACCAGACGGCAAGAGTTTTTTGTCAACAAATTCATTTACGACTTTCAACCGTTGGCCTACGACTGTCTGGAATGGTGGCTGTTCACAAAAGTCAGTCATGAACGGGAATTTGGTCAAACTGTGATCGATTTCGATCCATCGTTTTACAGTAAATTGTACTGTTCTACTGAACATCTATAACTCTCTATGTTCATCAATATTCCTGTGATAAACGAAATATTTGTATATAATCGAAGAAATACGGATTTATTAAACACATCAGTTTCTTTGATCTCAACTGGTGGGTTAAATAAACAGTTCAAGGAAGAATGATGTAAAAGGTATTTTCTTGTTGAAATGTAATCATACTCCACGAGTTAGCTCATTATATTACTGCCAGCATGATTTTACATAACCAACAACTCATTAAGTAACATACATAAAGATACATATGTGGCGTTCAGATGAACGTAGTTTTTTATCATGGGGCACAATTTTTTCAGTGTATTGAACTACTAGAATTAGCGTACCAAGTATATTTAATTTGACTTGGGACCATTTTCAATGTGTAATGGTTCGTTCCTCAATGTTAACAGTTGGGTAGTGAAATTGTCAGAGGATTGTATAAAGTTGTTTGACGATACACAATAACGGAGTCCTGAACGTAATGCGTAAAAATATAGGTCATTACGCAATCTGGTTTTGTTAACCTTGACACGAGGAAAGAATTCAACCCGGTTCTGAAAATTTGAAGCAAGTGAAAATGTGTTGCATTGAAGAATATAAATAGATTTTGTCGGATCCATCAGACACATACAGTAAATGCGCTCAACATGAAGGATCAATGTTTTCGAAATCCGCACAATGAAAATTCAGCAAACTCCAGTTTGATAAAAGTTCAAAGCTGGAGGCATCACCTAATCATAAACCAGCAGTGCGTTCAGTTGCAGTCAAGAATTCAATTCTTATTGTTGTTTTTTTTCTGGCTAACACATTTCTCACAAGTAAGTGTGACCAAAATTTGAAATTTGAAAATTTGAAATCAAAATTTTAAACTATCATCTGAACCACCGGGTTCATCTTGTGAATTCTTTTTGATCCTATTGAAAACACGTGATTGATGAGTTGTCTATGTCTTGACAAGTTTTCTCGGTTGTCTGATGTGAAGATCAACTGTTAAGGTGTTGTTTTGAGCGAAATGTTCACAAATCACCAATCTGATTTAAACTCACAGTCAAACACTGGAAATGTTTAACACATATGCAGAACTAAGGTCATGAGGATGATAGATTCTCATTGGAACACTTGAAATTACTGAAAAATAGATATTTCATCCTGAATGCGTGTGTTAGAATGAACCTTGGTATTTCATGGCTCCTTATTTGGTTTTACTTTTACCCCGACCCACGGTGGACCTGCCTACCAGTGTTCCCTCACCACCAAACGTCCCGGTTGGCTTAACCGCCGTTCCCTCCATCGTTCCTCGTCCGCAAAGTCTTGTATTGTCTCCAACTGCGAGAATACTAACCGAGGGACATCCTGTCATGCACCTGTGTTCACTCCGCTGGGCTACGAAAACCCGGAGTACGTTCACATTTCGCAGTATCAGATCCCTAACATGGTTCCAGAGAGACAACCTAACGGTTTGATTTCAACATTAAACTTCAAGGAACAATACTTCCAACACTCATCTAGTTTTCTCTTGAGGGATTCGACATCCATACAGTTAATCAGTGCTCGCCTTAAGTGATTCCTTAGTGGCATAACCCTGTTTGTGAAGAACGTAGTCCTTTATTACACTACAGTGACATTTTTCCTGTCTAAATCGATGCAGTTGAAAATATCAAGCGAAAAAGGTTTTCAAACTTGAGACCAAAACATTCTTTGGTAATCTTTAAAGTATCTATAAGGTCACCCCTCATTCGCCTGCGTGTCAGAAAGAATAAAGCCGGGCCCCCAAGTGGCTGTAGGTATCTCTTAACTTTCTGGCCTGCTACCATTCTTGTTGTTAAACGTTGTATTTTCTTGAGTCACCGTTCATCCCATTTAAAACAAGGCACCCATACCTGTACACAATATTCTAACTGAGGACGCGCAACAGTTTTGTACAAGGTTACGAATACCTCGAGTCTGCTCACGGGAATTAAGTCACGACTGTCCTTTAGTATGTTTCTCTTTTACACTGATTGAAATTGATGTGTAACATATTGTACGTAATCTACGTAACCTCTGATTCCAAATAAAAATTAGCATTTCAGTAGGCCCTCCGAGTGAATAACAAGTTCCCTCTCACTATCAAACGGAACAAGCAGGTGAATTCTATGCATAAGAAAGTAATTTACTTTCTGTCAGCATGACGGAAAATCTATCGACTGGAAAGCAAATATTGAACAATATCATACAAACCATCGAAAACTTTCTTTGCAAAAAATATACTGTGATCACGGTCAGTCCTGCGAAATCTGGCCTGATGTGACCTTCGAAAGAGCAAGACTTATCCAATCACTGCAACCGACCTATAATTCATAGCATGAGGGCAATTCCAAGCACACCGATCTGAGTTGCCAGTGTCAATAACATCGTTACATGACGCGGCAAAAGAATCTTGCCTATTCTCTTATTCACGCAAATCACAGACGCTCTCAATGCAGAGATATCTCCATGCACGGGGGATTTCAAAGTAAACCGTGAGGTAGAAAAAATGCAAACACACGAACCACGATGTCCTGTAAGGTATACACACAGCTCATACTCAATGGTAGTAACTTGCTCCAGGTGCCCAGGGCTCTATTCTTACTACCTCACACTGAACGTGAATGCAACACAGAAGGCCTAAGAACCCATGCAGTTGGGTGTTACTTTTGAGCACCAGTTGAAGATCAACCTACAGAGAAGAATAAATAAACCATTATTAATCAATAAATTAAGTGAAATGGCGACCCATAGTGCCTTACTGAAAGCTAGCTGGTATGTTCGTTTATTTAGAAGATTAAAAAGCAAATTATTCTTCACGGCGTTTGCTAATTGCCGATTGCTGTATCGTCCCAGGTAAGAGCATCTATGTATTACGTTATCACTTGAATGGTACTAAAACTTAGGACAACCGGCCCAGACGATGACCGTTCAGTTCAGTTCAGTTTGGTTCTCACCGGACGATTTGTGGCTCTTGCCAATCAAGCGTCCAGCAACGTGTGTTGTCGGCGAGTTTCCTTGGCTTCCACCACTTTGATATGTAATTTTGGCCTCAGAACAACCAAAATGTTTATTCATAAACAAATCCAAGGGAACACGTTTTCTTGTGAGTACAGTGGCAAAAATAAGCGAAATCCATCAACTTTTTATCTACCAACATCATTCGTCGACTACAGAGTCGGTCGCAGCCAAATAATACCCAATCAAAACTTACGATGCTCGTTTACGCACACTGAACCTCAGATTTCGCCGTATTTTCAATGGGTAGTTGCGATTACTAACCTCCCAAAATCTAACACTGATACTGGCCTCCGTCATCACTTCAACCTCACAGACAGTACAATAGATAAATTAGGCTTAAAGGCCGTCTCACAACATGCGAGGGTATCCCGACAAGCAAAACTGCTCTTACTTCATTCCACTACGGACCGGTCGGAAAAAAATCGATTCCTCAAGGCGCTCTCCAAATTTCTGGATTTACGCATTCCGTCCCATATCCGTCCGTAAGGTTTCAAGGTAGGAAAGCTTTTGTTGTAAGGAAACGATCTGTGAAGCTGAAATTTCTAATCAACGGCGACGCCTTACACACTGGGCGGGACTATTCAAGACACAGGTTGGCTGGCCATCAGAGGCAGCTTCTCACATAGCTTTTCTGACACACGTACCACGGTCTATCTCAACATACATTTTTTATATTTTGACTTCCTTTTATTGAATGCACAATGATACATTTTTCAGGAAGGGGGAAGTGGTCAATCCAAGGGTTGCCATTCAACACACGAATGAGGAAAGTCAGGTGGTGGTGGTAGTGGAATGCGAACACTCGTCCTCCGGTGTGATAATTTGGTGACATTACCACCGGGCCATCGCCACATTCTGATACCGAAATTTGTAAGGGGATTCTTTCCTTGAGACGTCACAAAGTGCTCGGATTCTATGGCCGTCCCCTAGCTCCATCTGTCAGTCTTTGAATAAAGGTTGTTAGAGAATTGGTGACTCTGTTGTTTAAAGGTTGAACAACTAAGTAGGTTCCCTCGTCGGAGGGAGAATCGATTTTGGTCCCCATCTTCGAAAAAGGTGCGCGAAGAGACTACGCCAACCACAAGGACATAAGCCTTATCCCAGTAGCGTCACAGCTTTTAGTGTCCGTCATTATCCGCCGATTGTATAATATGCGGGAAGAGCAGTCCCACGAGTAGCATGCTAAGTCGCGAATGCATCGATCAAATCTTCACCCCTTGTCACCTGCTAGAGCACCGTTATCTTTATCATAGATCAACGACCATTGTGTTCTTGGACTCTGGTGCAGCCTTCAATACCATCAATTGGGCCGCACAATGAACTGTTTCTTTGTGTACGGCGTACCTGAGTGTTGTATTTCGTTTAATTAAACAAATTAGTACACAGTCAGATATGCAGTTCGTTTATTGTAAATGGCACATAACCTCCATATTACACCAAGCAGGCATCCAAACAGCGAATAAATCATTCAATCATACCGGTCACAGGCATAAAATGCAAAGGTGTTAGTCAATTTTTTGGCCACAACACTGAGAAGTGTGTCGATCCTCAAAGAGTTGTGTCGTTTTACCTCAGGTGGAGTAGGGTTCTATGGCCAGCGCTCACTTTGCGGTCTCCAATGAACTTCGGATAAGGCTGCACCATATCCCCATTCTTCTTCTACTTTGTCGTAGAAGATGTTCTTTGGGACGCCTTGTCCGGTTTGGCAAACGGCTGATTTTAACTCCTTCCAGAGAACAGTCCTTGACTTATAATAAGCCAATGACATCTCACCTTGTTGGGTGATAACTTACAGATAGTCCAACACGCTTTGAACTGCTTGGTAATCAGGTATTCGCTTTTCACCATCCTGTTGCAGTGCTTGTTCAGTCCAGTCTAGTCCAGTTTTCACAGGACGAATAATGGCCCTTACCAATCGAACGTCCAGATCATTGTGTTGTTGGCCGGTGTTTTTGTCTCCCAAACTTGTGTTTTCTGAGTTTCTTCTA